TTTTCCATAAATAATAAATATAATAAAATAATTAATTAAGTGGTAATTTAATCGTTGAAATTAGTCCATGTATTTATTTTGATGTGAAACTTTAGGACAATATTCTAGAGATGTTGTAGAATTTAATAAGACAAAAAAATCGATTTTTTGAAACCGTGATACCCATGCAAACCCTTAAATAACTGCAGTGATAAAATAAACAATAGTAAAAAAAAAAAAAAACACGGTTCAATAAAAAACCAAACTAAAAAGTAGAAAATAATTTACAATAATTTTAAAATAATAATATAGCGTAGGGTGATTAACATCAATTGCTATGATTATTAAATTGCCAAATATTGATAAAAGTAGAGTCATTATGAAAATATCTTATTTGACATCCCACGCTTTTTTCAATAAAACCAATTTTTTTCGTTAATCGCTGTTTTTATTTTTAATTTATTTAAAACTATTTTCTACTTTTTAGTTGGGCTATATATCACAGCGTGTTTTTTAGTTTTGTAAACTAAATTGTGACGATCCTAATCAGGATAATGGATCAAATTGATTAAATTATTGTATTGTCATTGCTCCGTGATAAGCGTGCAAAGTTTTAATTTAATTCGACGTTTTGAAATGGACAAACATTGAGTTTAACGATTTCGTTACATACATATATACGGATAAAGCTAATAAAAGTTTGTTAAAAATTAACTTTATCCACGGTTGAATTCTTGAACCAAGAAAAATTATTGAATAAAGTCGAATTTAACTAATCCAAAAAATTTCTTTAGTTGAAGAGTTTCTTTACTTAATTAAAGATAATCGAATCCTTTAAAATGATCTTCAATATTTTTTATCTTGAACCGACTTCATTTTTTTATCAGTAAGAACGAAAAATAAAATAAAAATTCTCTGAACACTGAAATCAGCAGACACTTGAAAACTTTTCGATCTTATTCAAAACTTCCATTAGTATTGAGAAAATATTACTCATTTACAAATATATAGTTTTTTTTTCTTTGTAATGATTTATTTATTAAAAAAATAAAAAATTATCAATCGAAATAATAAACTCACTCAGCCTTGATACCTACCTACAAAACTTGTGCCTATATATGAATTTTCCTTAAATCAGGAGCGAGGTCAATAATGAATGTCAAATTAATAATCCGAGCCTGGTTTACTAAATAAATTAATTAGATGAAGAACTACTATCGATGTTTTGCTACATTAAGAAAATGTAGCATGAGCTGATTTTCATTTTAATTTATTTTATAATATTTATACGCTATTGAATAATCTCTAGTGCATTTATTTGTCTACTTGAACTTACTTTTCATAAATTTACTGTTATATTACATATTTATTATTCTTTCATTTACAGAAAAATATCCTAGAAAAATTTATTGTATAAACACTTCACAAAATTACGTATACTTTATTGTAAATATCATGTATAATACGCTTGCCAGTTGACCATTGCCTTGGCATTAAACCAAATAAGTAATAATATTTTCAAGCATCTGTCGAATTGAGCGTAAAAAATTCTTGATAATAAATGAGACTAAAAATGTATTGAAATATTAAAAAACAGAAAAACATTACTTTGATGATACTTTTTTAAAAAATTTAGTCAATCTTAATTATAAAAAATTTTATAAGTCGTAAAAATTTGCTTTATTAGTTACTAGCAGTCCACCCCGATTTCGCACGGATATTTAACAAAAATTGGAGTTTTAGTAAAGATCCCTAATTTATTTGAAAATATAATACAGCCCATCTCACCCGGGGATAGTGTAGCTTCCCAACAGTCAAAGAATTTTTCAAATCGGTTCTGTAGTTTCGGAGCCTATTCAATGCAAACAAGCAAACAAACAATCAAATCTTTCATCTTTATTATATTAGTATAGATAACTTACAACTGATAGGGTTATTTAATTGTGTGTAACTTCATCTAAAAATTATAGAGTATGGATAAACCAACAAACTATTCAAAACTGCTTCAAAAACTCAACATAAAAATTGACTTTCACTGAAAAATTGAAAAATATATAAAACTATGATAAGGCACAAATTCTTATCAAGATCTTTCTGATGATACCAAGTTTAAGAATAAAAATTTCTTTAAAAATAATGACATGCTCGTCACAAAAAATATCAAAAACAATTTATGATAAAAATATACCGGTTACAAAACTTTTCTCAGTCTTTTAATTATGTTAGTTAATTTTTGACCTACAACCACATTTATATAAACAAAACAAAATAAATAAATAAATAATTGACGTTTATCACGAAATGCGGATTTATGTAGAACTTCTTGGAAAACTTATCATAATAAATTAATCATTGTTGAAAAGCATATGAAATATTGAAAAGGCATAAATTCAGGTCAAGACCTTTCCAATGATAATAAATTTAATTTAAAAAACCTATTTTATCATATAAATACGCCGAAGACAAAATTTTCCTTATTCTCTTAATTATATAGATTATTTTAAAATATTAATATCGTATTACAATTATAGCTTAAGCTATAAAATTAAAACGTTATATTTGATCTTATCGATGGTAGTTTAAAAAAAAAGCGATTTAAAAATTATTTTCGGATTATTACATTATAATTGCATAAATAAATCTTAGACTATTAATTTTTCAAGTTTTCATCCTTATAATTTCATTCATTATATAAAAGATACTTGTTTATTAATATTACAAAGAATTCGAGTTAACATTTTCCAGCTGGAATATTATTTTAGTAATACTCTTATTTTAAACTTAAACGTGCTTTGTAGTAGTAATAGTAAAGAAAAAACATAATTTACAAACAAATGTCAATCACTGCATATTAATAAACAATTTATCAGGTTTCTAACTACTCAGTATTATTCAGATACCTTTTAATAAATCAATATAAATAAACAAAATTTAAAATAATATTCTTTGTTTTTTACCTTAAAGATTCATAAAAAAAAAACTTTCTAATAATTTTCATTATTGTATGATAAATTCAAATTGTTATGATAATCGATTGTGATAAATTTTTTTTGTTATGTTCTCAAGTGCATGAAACTCAAGAAGGTACTCTTTATATAATGAAAGTATTTTTATAAGCGGAAAAAATAATGTTAATAAATAAAAGTTACTAACAGTCTAAACAATAATTATTTACATAACTGGAAATTTAAACAAGATAGTGTGCCTCAGCCGCGATAATTTTTTATAAAATATACTTGTTATTTATAATTAGTTATTTCATTGGGAAATGTATGTTACTAGTTTTCTTATAGTAAAAAATGATAGTCAAAAAAATATTTATTCAAATTATTGAGTTATATTCAGTATTTTACAATCGATAGAACAAATTAATTTTTTTGCATGCCTTAAGCGCGAAGGTTGGTATAAAATTTCTACTATACCGTTACTATCTTCTTTACCGCCATTTCACCTGTAATTCACTCGCAGACTACCGTGAATTTACCACCGAAATACTCTTTATTCACCGAATTTTTACTAGTCATTCACCGTTGTATCTACGTCTGAAAACGATTAAGAGGTCGGAAAATCATCGTTATTGAGTGGGAAAAAAATCGTGAAAATCTCGTGAATGTTTGCTGTATGAACCATGCAATCACCGTCAGAACATTTCACAACTTCACTTGTTTTTCACCGTCGAACGACGGTTGTTCAACCACCAATAGACTTTCTTTCATCGGTGAAGTGAATTTACGGTGAATTTACCGTCGTTTGACCGTAGTTTGACCGTCACCAAGAATCCGCTAGGGGATAGATAATTATGAAATAACATACTTTTATAATTCTTTATTTATAAATAATCTAAGTAATAATAATAATATAAGTAATAATAATGATTAATACTTTTATTTATAAATTATTTAATTTACATAAATAAATACTTAGGTAAGTAGACTCAGACATGAGGTAAACTAAAAAACACGCGTACACTGTAGATTGGAGGGAAATGAAAAAATAGTGGCGCCACCGTCACGGTTGCTATGGTAATATAGAATTTAGTTTTAGCCCTGTTAAAAAACTTGGTATTCTCCGATTTAAAATACCAGTTTTCTTAAATCTAAAATATTTAACTTGACTTTTTCTGCGTACAAGAAAACTCGACTAAAAAATATTCAGTATTCCGGGTATAAAAAAACTTTTTTTTCAGTGTGAGTTATCGTTGATGAAAGAAATCGAAAAAAAGTGTTTTTTTTTTCAAATTACACCAAAATTTTCCGTCTAATCAATTTGTGTTTGAAAATATATCATAGAATTTGAAAAACTGCGTCGAATGCCACCAACCGCGTGAAAATCGGTTCATTCATTCAGAAGTTATTGCGGTTTGAAAATTCAAAAAATAGTGTTCTATTAAACTTCTATCAAACTTTTGAGCTCGGAGAGCTCAAAACTACACGAAAATCACATTTGTGAGCTCGAAGAGCTCAAAAACGTAATAAGTACAATTTTGCGTGCTTAATTACGAAAGTAGCGGGAAATTGCAGGGATGGCTTTCAAGGTCAACCGTTTTCCTAATTTTTTTAACTAAGCAATCGAATGATTTTGAGTCAAACGTACTAAATTGAAGACAAAAATTTCTGTGTATTTTCTATGTACACAACAACAGAAAATAAAAATCAATCTGATTCTATTTCGGTATTTTCTTCGAAATTGTAAACTTCACGACTCCCATTATTGATTCCTGACTTTATGTTGAGCATAGTATATCCCTTAGAATCAATAAATATAATACAGTCTTTAGTGAACCCCGAAGAGTAAGTTCCAAGTCTAGTTGACGCATCTGTTTCGCGCAGTTCATTAATATTCTCATTCATTATTAACTTTCCACCTGGAATACATAGAACATGGCCCTTTCATTGCACAATTACCTAATTTGCATAACTAGATTAGCAATTATTGTAATGACGCACAAATTTTCACAATTACCTTCTGAACGAAAAAGAATTGAAGTCAAATCAGTAGACACTCGGACGTCTACTATTACCATGAAGATACTAAAAACAAGTTTCATTCTTCTGAGTCTCGCGGGGGTTTGGAAACCACGAGGATGGCGTGGAATCAAAGCTTTTATCTACTACTTCTATCAGTTTACCGTGGTGATATCCGACCATATGTTTATAATCTCCAGTATTCTTGACCTGGAGTTCAAAAACGTCGATCCAAGCGAGCTGTTTGACAATTTATCACTTCTTTTGGCCATGACAAACGCAAGGCAGAAAATGTCCTGCGTGATCATTGGTCGCGGTGCAATAAAATATATTATTGACACACTGGAGAAAAGTCCTTTCAAAACTCGCAACAACAAAGAGGAAGTCATCGCCATGAAATTCGACGGTTTAATCAGGTTATATTTCAATTAAATTTTCGCTATTATTTTAAAACATATAGATATGATAATTTAAGTTTGTTGTATTTATGATTATATTTCATTAAGATGAAGTCTCAATAACTTTTTTGTAATTTTAACCGCAGAAGTATGACTTTAGGGTTATGTTTACCATTTCCAAAGTATACCCATTTATGAAAAACAACCCTTCGAGAATTCGTTAGGCACAAGTATCTACGAACCTAGGTTGTAGAGTAGAGCTCTACTAATGATGATTGTCAAATTGTAGTAAAATTTCAAATTTTGGTATGATCATAATCATGAACATCAATATTATAATATTTACAATATTGGTATTAATATTTACAATATAAAATAGTAATATTTACCATCATCGATGGAAAAAAAATATAGTAACTATTACCATCAATGGATGATATTTATTACCATCTTGCATCGAAAATACTATTAGTATTCGCTTGTATTTTTCACCTTACATTAATGTTAAAAAATATTATCTTGCAAGTTTTACCGTTGGATTCTCATGCACACGAGCAATTTTTCTACTTTTTAACATTATAGACTATTGTCTCCCATTGTCAAATTGTGTGGGCGTAACCGTTTTTATTTGTAATTATGTGCTTCAATCTTCTGAGATTTTTAAGAAACAATTTTAAAAAGTTCCTGAAATTTTGGTTCAATTAATAACTTTTTTCATTCTATTTATAAATAAACACATAAGTCTCATCAATACATATGTATATATTTGTGAAATATATAAAATATATAAAAAAATCCATTTGGTAGAGATAAGCTTATATCTTAAAAAATATCATTAGTTGTGTAGTAGTCTATTTCTTTAGTTTTATAATTTATTTAAGTTATAACTATACTCTTTACAATATTCGAATGAAGTTAATCAAATTCCACAATAATTAATCAATCCCGTAGAGTATAGTTATCAGAAAAACAATACAATAGATTAAGTTCTCGTATAAGTATAAATGTCAAGACGGTACTCCGCGATTACAATAATGCGATACGTAAAATGAAGGAGAATAGGATAAGTTTCCTAGACCGTAGATGTGTGTATCTCAGAGACTGAGGAAAATCTGCCTCGTGCCCCTTGACTCTTGAGGGTGTTAGCTTTTTCTAACACTTAGCGTTGTTCTTGGGGTCCCGTGCCGTCATGAGCCCCTTGAATGCCGGGGAAGGGATTTTATGGCCCAAAGAGTACAGTGGTTGACGCAAAAATTTTCAAGAGTGGAAAAATACTCCCGCAGTTGACAAGATACAATGCCTTTTCTTACTTATTGTAAGACATAAGTTGTATATTGATCATACATGTTCATGTCTGAAGCGTTAAATATGCTCAGGCCTGATCAACTTGTCCATGCCTGTTCATGCCTGTCCATGTCTGTTCATGCCTGTTCATGTCTGAAGTGTTAAATACGCCCAGGCCTGATCATACCTGTCCATGCCTGTTCATGCCTGTTCATATCTGAACAATTATAGACAGTCTATAAATAATTAGATCTGATCAGACTTGCATAGTCAGAGATTTGATAAGAATTTTTTCTTTGACACAAAAATATTTTTTGGTAATCACAAAATGTGCAAAATTATTTTTATCATTTCGTTTAAATAATTCTGAAATAAAAATTGGTTACATTTCCTATGGGATGTTTTGGTCTGCTCTGCTCTTGCCTAATAATTAAATCATTACTTATTTTATTTCATTTTTAACTTCCCGCTAAGAAAATTGAAAATTTTCAAAAGTCGGGAAGTAATTGTTTTCACCCCGTTTTTCGAAAATCAAGTTTTCATCATATCTCGACGTTTTGAAGTCCTAGAAGGCTTCCCTGACTATTCCCGCGATGGTGTCCGTGCGGCTGTATGTGTGTGTGTCCGTGCGGCTGTGTGTGTGTGTGTGTGTGTGTGTGTGTGTGTGTGTGTGTGTGTGTGTGTGTGTGTGTGTGTGTGTGTGTGTACTCTTCTGCCCCGAGTGTGTGTGTGTTGTGTGTGTGTGTCGTCGTCGGCGTCGTGTGTGTGTGTGTGTGTGTGTGTGTGTGTGTGTGTGTGTGTGTGTGTGTGTGTGTGTGTGTGTGTGTGTGTGTAAACCTCTTATAACTTTTGAACGGCTCGGCCGATTGGATCGAAATAAGTGGCGTTCCAAAGAGTATCATAGCCATTAAATTTCGTAAAAATTTAAATCGATTCGGTTCTCTAGATTTTGAGAAGTCTCAAAAATAAAATTTTCAAAAAATCGTTTTTTTGGAATAACTTCTAAACGGCTCCACCAATCAATTCCAAAAACTAATCAGCTCTTAAGCTTAAAAAACCAAGTCGATTGCTACCAGTCCCATCAAAATCGGTTGATTCGTTCGAGAGTTATCGAAAACGAAAAATTTCGAAAAAAGTGTTTTTTTCGCATAACTTCGAGATTTCTTTTTGGATTGTTTTTGATGAAATAAAATAATTATTAGAGCTCAAAAAATCTCGTCGATCACCACCAAGAACGTAAAAATTGGTTGATTGGTTCGTGAGTTATCGTTGTCGAAAAAATTCGGAAAACGTGAATTTTTTTAATTTCTCTAAGATTTTTGGTTCGATCAGTTTGTATTCAAAAGTATATCATAGATTCTGAAAAACTACGTAGAATACTGCCAACCACGTGAAAATCGATTCATTCATTTAGAAATTATTGCAGTTTGAAAATTCAAAAAATACTGTTTTATTAAACTTCCATCAGACTTTTGAGCTCGAAGATTTTTCTAGGAAAAGTGAGGTAATCATGCTAAGGAGGTATCGACACGTCAATGCTTATTGAACATGGACAAGCAACCCCCGAAAATATATAAACCCCGGAAAAATGGCAAACGTCGTCAGTCGGCAGTCAGTTCGTCCAGAGCACGTTACTCTGCTGGTCCTAGGCTCCGATAATTCGGCACTCCAAAGACAAGTAGTATCTTTACTACTTACTGACCAACTTTCTCACAGTTTATTTTGAAGTTTAGTCTTCTTTTTATATCAGTCAGTCTGCGGACAATATTTTTGAAGCAAGTTACTCTGCAAGTCTCTACCTATAATTAGATTTAGATTTAGATTGGTGTTTTATTATGCCAAGGCACAGGCCAAATGGCAAATTTTTAGTACATAATATAAATATACAATATTTAAAATTAAATACTTAGTAAAAAATGAGAATACATAATAATGAACATAATTATAAAGTGTAGAAAACAATATAAGATAGATTCAACTGAAAACTCCTATCACTATACAAAAGATCTCACTACTTATTTATTCGGTAACAATTTTTCAATAAATTAGTGATATTATAATTAACAAAAAACTCCTTTATGATAGAAGGAAAAAATAAAATAAGAAGATATGATAATATGGCTTGATAAATTAATAATCTTAATGATCTAAAGCTGAACACCATCAGACAATTTATATTAATAGTCCAAGTTCAACAAATAGTTAAAGACTTTACTTTTAAACACTTCCAAGCTGCTTGAATTTATAATTTTACTAGGTAGCTCTTCCCACATCTTTATGACCGAAACCACAAAATATTTCTCTGAGTAAGTTGGTGAATAATTTGGCAGTTTGAAGCAAGTATGTTTTTTAGCTGAAAGTCTCTCAGATCTTCTGATATCAGTATCTTCAATGAACAGATCACGTAGATACATAGGTTTACCGTCATTAAATAATTTGACGAAAAAACACACCATGTAATAAAGCCTGCGACATTCGACTGATAACCAGCCCAGGTTACGGCGATGTGGAGTGATATGTTCATCTTTTCTGAGGTTAAAGATGAACCTTATCGAAGAGTTTATTGCACGCTGCAATTCGAGATTATTTTCAGATGTACAATCAATAAGCACTATGCTGCAATAATCGATAAGGTGTAGAATAGTTGCTGAGACTAATAGCTTTCTGGTTTCTACAGTGAAGATGTTCTTACGGACTTTCAGACTATGAAGTGATGAATTTATTTTCTTGCATATCAATTATTAGGATTCTTAGAGTCAAATAGTATCACTATTATTTTCTGACCAATAGAGATTTATTATAACATTGTACTAGTACGGTAATTACCCGTTCACCCAGATTAGGCTAGTCATCCGAGTTATCAGTAAACATTGTCACTCTTGTTAGTTGATACCTCCTGTTGAAAATTATTCAACCATATATAAACTCAGTGTATCTACTTTGTACTACTGCAATTGAAGCTCACACTTCAATGTAATTGTAAGTGACTATTTAATATATTTCTTATCGCAACGAATTTTATTCTCTTCATTTAATTATCTCTCCAACCTTCAAAGCAATTATAAAATAAGAAAACGAGGTGTTCACGAGTACCTACAATTTACCAAGCCCACCCATCCTTCCTTTAACACTTATCCGAGACCCCCTATTGCCACGCGGGTCATTTGTCGGATTCCTTGTCAGTACAAGCCGCTCGATACTTGTCAAGGTAAGTCAATAAAATAGATTTGAATCGTTGGGGTACTACACGATTAAGAGATTGGAATCTCGTAGTTTATAAAAATCAGAGATCTTCATATCTGATCATAGTAGCCTCGTGTAATAAAAGAATTAAAGTTATTGATTTGAGTAAACATAATTAACATAACAACCTTCCGTTCGTGACAAATTTATTTTGGAAAATCTTGTGAAATTTTGATTTTAATGAAAATGAAAAAATTTTCCAAACAACCAGAACTTTGGAACCGGAATAATGGACCGAATTGTCGTGTTGACAAGCCTGGATATATTATAGAAACTTTTGAGCTGATGCTGTTTTTAAGTAAAACTCAAACGAATAAAACATAATATATCAAAATTAAATTCCAATATGAGTACCTCTACAGTTTAACGTTAACTTTAAATGTTAATATTTATTGTAACATGTCTAATTATTGAAATTCTCAGTTATATATTTCTGTCAAGTCATACTTCCGTAATTATTATTACAAAAAACTTTATTCGATATGTCGTGTGAAATGTGAAGAATCTAGTACACATGAATTTGCGAAACTCGCCTTTAAGGTCATGTTTACATCTCATACACTTATCCGGTCTTACTCCGCTCGTCCGTGTAACAACCTAATCGTTCCAGTAACGGATGCATCATAACTTTAAGCCCTTATCGCAAATTCAAGAGTACCAAAAGCCTTCACTTCACACATCTATATTGAAAATATCTATTTCATCTGTCAAAATTGAAGAGACTCCACTGTACAGGGGCCTACATTAATGGAGGGTTTTTTAATGGAGCCATTTATCATAAGAATGATAACTTTTTAAATGATTTAAAAAAGGTTTTTATTAAAAATTAATAATTGCTAAAAAATAATACTTATCAATGACGTATTGTTAGTCAATTATTGAGTCAATGATCTGTAATTTTTAACTTCCCGCTAAGAATCTCAGATTTTCAAAAATCGGGAAGTTATTGTTTTCACCCCGTTTTACAAAAATCGAGTTTTCATCAGATCTCGACGTTTGAAGGTCACAGGAAGCTTCCCTGACTATTTTAACGATGATGTCCGTACGTCTGTATGTATGTGTGTGTATGTGTGTATGTGTGCGTGTGTGTCTGTGTGTGTGTGTGTGTTTTTTTTTTTTT